ATTGTTTTCTCCTTCGGAACCCAATAATTAATTCTACTGATAAACAACGCCCTTATTATTTATCTTCAATGTTGTGATCTATCTTGACTTCCCACATAACAGTTTCAGAAAGAGACATTCGGGTATACAAGAATTTTCGGCGTGGGAACATCCCCACCTGCTCGAAGCAGCCGCTCATGAAATTCCACGTTCATGTTTTTCGTTTACACCGACTCCGCCTGGAATCCACCCGGTCTCATATCAGAGGTTCTTTCCCCCGAGAAATGCTGGTCAGAGCGTGACGCTTAACACCCATTACCACGAGGCGACGAAGGTGAGAATACACGGAGCTTTACCTCCGCTCTTATGAACTCACGGCCGTCTGGCTGAGGAGTGACCACACTCTGTCAAGTTCCTCCCGTCGTGATACTTCCTGTCTGTTGCAGACTGCACGGCGGGCGGACAAGTGTTCCGTTTTAGCATGACGTGCTTTTAATACCGGAAACTGTAATGGGCTGATAACAAGCAGGTAACGCACAAGCTAGTTGCTTTATAGGTTTAAGTGATGTGCTAAAGTGAATCAGCTTGTCGGGGCAGTTTACATAGGAAGCGAAATCGGTATATTAAAAGTGAAATTTACAATCTTTTTAAGGATGTTATCCAGAAACATATTACGTTAATTTAGTCCAATCACAGGCTCATAGACTTACTGAACTGATATGTGGCAGAACGTTCGGTCCGTGGATATATACTACAGACTTTTATTGTGCGCAGTTGATGAAAAGGTTATCTTTAGATGGAAAATATTTTCGGAAATTACTTTATGAGCAGACCAAAATTGTGGATGTACAAAAAAATAGGCTCACTTTTATGATTTGTTTTATGTGTTGTGAAGCTTGGTAGCTTGTTAAGGGGGAATACCCAAACTAGCAATACGTGCTTGAAAGCAAAATTCTAAGGGTTATCGCCTCAATACGTGCTTGAAAGCAAAATTCTAAAGGTTATCGCCCTGACGATGGAAACACTAAGTACCTTAGAAAGGTCGGTAAACATCTACGAGACTACACGGAACAAGGAAGACAGCCATTTACGTAAGTTAATTTGTGTCAGGTAGACCTGTTATTGATGATTGGGGTGATCTTAATTTTGTTTCTCGCAACTTATTAAGTCGATGAAATATATGAACTTTATTAATCCAAGATACAATTGTGATTTTAAAACTTATACCTATATCACGAAGGCCTAGGTTATGAAAATTGTTTTCCAGAACCAAGACTCATTTTCTTATTCTCCTTCGACCTGAAAATCTACTTCCCAGCGTTGGCTTCGCCTCTAATGCTCTTCGCTCTGAACATTTGTAATCAGTCACGTCCCCAGCCACCTGTCGTAATCAATTCTGACTATTTCAGGACTACAGATTCTTTCCATTTCGGTACCTACTTTAGTAATCGGCCTAATTATAAACATGGACATAAAATTTCTCACATATTCCGTGTTTCCTTCTTATTTGTAAGAAGTGTTGTCGTACAGCCAACACTTATGTTGGATGTAACTTTTCATCACATCGTCTGTCCATTTTTTTTCCTGACTGCGCTGTGCTGTCACCTTTTATCCATTCGTACAACTAAAAGTGGCGTGATTTTTGTAACAGTTTGTTTGGCCCTCTATGTTACAGGACAGTATAAAAACGGGAAAAAATCCAACCGTAAAAAAGTTTTGTTTTAGAAAATGAAAGTAATTTGTGACATGTTTCAGTGAAAGTGCGACCAACAAAGACGACATTGAACCAGACCACACTTTACGTAGCTTGCACTTTTCCTCAAGCAACAAAAATGGATCTCTTACGGACCAATGTCCATCTTAAACGAAACACTAAAATTATTAGCTCCTAGTTTACAAACACAGAGATAAAGATAAAATAGACCTAACCATAAAATACTGCTAAAGAAGACTTTATGACGTAACTCATTAGAAAACACAAACAGTACAACAGTAATACCGTGTAAGTAGTTAAATCATTTACCTGATTGAAAACCACTGATTCGGTTGAATTGTAACTCTTAAAATATGAAGGCTAGGATGGGCGAGTAAAATAAGCCAAAGTGTTAGAAAATTCTATATACACGCGTTCACAGACGATATTATAATGGCTAGTGTTAGGAAGTGCATTCAACTGAACTGGTTCGAAACAGAATCCACTGGTAGGCTTTTGTATTAAGTCAGAATCTCCGAGTTACTTAGATAATTAGTTACCTGTAGCTGTTTAGTTAATTAGGTAGTTTATTAGTCAGTTAGTACATGGTTTTCCATCTCTAATATAAACTAGCACAATTTTTCAATAAATTCGCATAACTAAATTTCCTTATAGCTTTTCATAATCAATACGAGGGGAAAGCGAATCTTTCTATGTAGGCCTACATATGTATAATGCGCTGATAACTATACTCCGTCTGTGTTATGTTGGGACCTGCGTCACACCTTGCGTTGAAGAGACAGGCTTTATGGCAGTCGGTAGGCTTACGACTTACCTACGCACTTATTGCTAGAATCATTCTATGCGCAATCACAAGAAGTGACTTGAGATTTTTAGTGCATTTTATGTCTAAGCATAAATTTGTGATCTCATTTAGGTTATTTTAGGTACAATAACAGATTGTTGGGATTTTTAAAGGAAGGGAAATTGTATGTGTAAAATAGGCATAAGCCTATGTGATTTTGCTAAACTTTGTTTGGTCGCGGAAAGAAAGAAATTTTGAAATAAACCAACAAGTCTTTGTTTAACAAACACAGTAGGTAATAGAAAAAGAGCTGAAATT